CCTGTCCCAGCAGTGCTCTCAGGTCCACACACACCTGTTCCAGCAGTGTCCAATACACACACACACACCCAGCAGTGCTCCTGTCCAGGTACACACACCTGTTCCAGCAGTGCTCTGTCCCACACACACACACTGTTCCAGCAGTGCTCTGTCCAGGTCCACACACACCTGTCACCGTGTGTGTTCTCGTCCTGAGTTTATAGAAGGTAACTGGTTGTGTGGAGGCCCGGGCAACACCTTCACTGTATCATTCTCAGGTACAACTCATTCACCTGGACACCCTTTCTTAATTAATGGTGTTATACCTGTACTCACTCAGGGTCCTCCCCACCATCCTCCGAGGTCCTCCACCATCACTCGAGGTCCTCCCATCACCTGGAGTCCTCCCCCAATCACTCGAGGTCCTCCCCACCATCATCAGGTCCTCCCCAATCTCCTCCGAGGTCCTCCCACCTCTCCTCCGAGGTCCTCCCACCATCACTCGAGGTCCTCCCCATCCTCAGGTCCTCCCCACCATCACTCCGGGGTCCTCCACCACTCCAGTCCTCCCCCACCATCACTCCCGAGTCCTCCCCCATCCTCAGGTCCTCCCACCACTGAGGTCCTCCCCCATCCTCCGAGGTCCTCCCAATCACTCAGTCCTCCCACCATCACTCAGGTCCTCCACCATCACTCCGAGGTCCTCCCCACCATCACTCCAGGGTCCTCCCCAACACAAAACCTAACCTAACCATTTATTTCACTTCCACCTTTACAACACCTTCGTCTCACCTCCCCAGGACAATCCATTTTCTCTTCCCACCTCTAGCCTCCTTGGAACTGCCCTCCTGACGGTGACGGTGACGATATAATGTCTCACCTCCACCTCACCCCCAGCAGGAGCGGTGACGACGGGCCACAACAAGCCTGGTGAAAGCTGTAACCCTTCAGTGAGCCCAACTACCACTAACAACCAGACTGTGTTGGTCACAGAGATGGAAAAACCGCTTATCAATTTATCATCCGAAATCGCTTTTTAGAATTCACTCTTTTTCAGTGGCAGTAATAAAGCAGCGACCATACAAGGTTAACGGCGAGAGTTACTTACCGCTCTGAAAAACTGGTTAATGCTTTATACACACGACTTGAAGCTGAGGGATCAATGCTAACTTAGAGTGACTGTGTACTGTGTAATAAACTGCAAACTTGAGACCACGGAAAAAAATCCAGCCTTTATGTGTAATTAACTAAAAAAAAAAGAGGATCGACTTGTATCATTTCTGGTAGTTGGAGCAGTAGTTAAGGAAGAATACGTGACGCTAGAGAGAGAATCGCGACCTTCCAGCCAGGGAGTATAAGGGTCAAAAAGCAACAAAAACGTACACACACACATTAAATCAAATCCTCTTGCCCGTTAATACGATCATCCATACGACCTGATGTACCTACGGACCGTCCAGCTCCACACACCACCAGCACCAATACCACTCACACCACCACCTCACCTTACCTCACCTGTTAAACCATCTTGGCGTGTGAGGTGGGCCGTAGGTGACAACATAAAATGCTTGACTCAGGCCCTCCTCCCCCAGTCAGTCGTACGGACCATCGTGTTATTAGCCGTCATAATAATAACCCAGCCAGATTATCCTTTAATTATCCACTATATTTCAACCAGGGGTTTGGTTGCACTTGCCGTGTTCATGATGCAGGGACACTGTGGAGGGGCTACTGTCGGGGTGGGGACTACTGTGCAGGTGGGGGCTACTGTGGGGAAGGGGCTACTATATGGTGGGCTATTGAGGGCTATGTGGGGGAGGCTATGTGGGGAGGGACTACTGTGGTGAGGACTGCTGTGGGAAGGGGCTACTGTGGGGGGGCTATTGAGGGGAGGGGCTATGTGGGGAGGGGCTATGTGGGGGGGGGCTGTGTGGGGGTGGGGGCCTGTGGGGTGGAAGCTACTGTGAGGGTGGGGGGGGCTGTGGGAGGGGGCTACAGTGAGGTGGGGCTACTGAGGGCTGCGGGGATGCTGTGGGGTTGTGGGAGGGTTAATGTGGAGGCTGCTGTGGGGGGTCCTTGTGGGGAGGCTACTGTGCAGGGAGGACTACTGTGGGGAGAGGACTACTTTGGGGAGAGGGGCTACTGTGGGGGAGGGGGGCTACTGTGGGGGGGGTTACTGTGTGGGGAGGGGAGCTACTGTGGGGAGGGCTGTGGGGAGGGCTGGGGAGGGGCTACTGTGGGGAGGGAATACTGGTGGAGGGCTACTGTGGGGAGTTACTGTGGGGAGGGTTGCTGTGGGGAGGGGTTACTGTGGGAGGTTGCTGTGGGGGGGCTACTGTGGGGAGGGCTGCTGTGGGGGAGGGGGGCTGTGGGGAATAGATACTGTGGGAGAGGCTTCTGGGGGAGGGGGGCTACTGTGGGGAGGGGCGACGCTGAGCAGGTTACAGGGGCCATGGGAAGGTCGTGCAGGACCAGGTGATGGCTGACACGTATGTTACAGGACACAGAGCAGGTCAGTTATTGTCATGGTGTGGCTAGGGTGAGTCATGGTGTGGCTGAGGTGAGTCATGGTGTGGCTAGGGTGGTTTAGGGTGGCTCAAATACGTATACAGAAGGAGGCGCTGGTGGGGCTGTGACGTCTGCCAGCCCACACACTGACGACGCGTCTACAGCCACCACCCCTACTGACGGCTGACGTCTACCAGCCATCCACCACCCCACGGCTGACGTCTACAGCCACCACCCTACTGACGGCTGACGTCACAGCCACACCCTACTGACGGCTGACGTCTACCAGCCACCACCCCTACTGACGGCTGACGTCTGCAGCTACTGACGGCTGACGTCTACCAGCCACCACCCCTACTGACGGCTGACGACGCTGTAGTACTCACTCAAGAGATCCCGTTGTTATATAACCACATCCCTCCTGCCACACCGTTCACTACCACATCACCCACACCGTTCACTACCACACCACCTCCTACCCACACCGTTCACTACCACACCTCCCTACCCACATCGTTCACTACCACACCACACTTCCTGCCACACCGTTCACTACATCACCTCCTGCCCACACTTTCACTACCACACCACCTCCCCTGCCCACACCGTTCACTACCACACCACCTCCTGCCACACCGTTCACTACCACACCACCTCCTGCCACACCGTTCACTACCACACCACCTCCTGCCACACCGTTCACTACCACATCACCTCCCACACCGTTCACTACCACATCCCTCTTGCCATACCACTTTATTCTCCACACACACACACACACACACACACACACACACACACACACATAAACAATTCTCGCTCTCTTCTTATCTGTGAAAACCATTTGAATAAAACTAAACGATTCCATAAAATTGTTATTGGATTTACAAAATATTCCTCCTTAAATTGCCCCAACACTGAAATTAATACCGACGTTTCTATTCCGTAAAGATTGAATTTTCTTTTTTTGTGGATACGTGTTTTTTGTGTAGGTAGACTGTATGTGTCAGTAAACGGAAAGGCTGCTCTTGAAACACTACACGGTCCCAAACTTTCCTCTCTACATAAATTCCTTAACCCCAAGAGTCTTATATATATATATATATTTTTTTATTCTTTCTCTTAAGGCACTACAGCTATTTATGGTAGCTTTTCTTATTTAATATTTTTAGCTTTTCTTATTTAATATTTTTAGCTTTTCTTATTGTTTTTAGCTTTTCTTATTTAATAGTTTGGTCTTATTTAATATTTTTAGCTTTTCTTATTTAATATTTTTAGCTTTTCTTATTCAACATTTTAAGCTTTTCCTATTTAACTGTAACCTTATATAATATTATTTTAACCTTATTTAACAAGTTAACCTTTATTAATGAACCATATTTATCAGAACTTCTTATTATTCACTGTCTTACCTACGTTAGTTATCAGGTGTAAAATTACTAATCATCCTATTACTATTTTTTTCAATTATTATTCATTATTTTTGTTATTCTCTTATTTATTCTATTTATTTTCAATTTTTTTTTTCTGTTATTTACTTTACCAAAAAAAATAACTCCATGACCTAGAGGAGGAGGAGGAGGAGGGAGGAGGAGGAGGAGGAGGAAAGAGGTCTGGGAGGAGGAGGAGGGATAATCGGAAGACCAAAGACCACTGGTGGCCACTCAAGACCTCCCCTACTGATGGTCTTCGTAAATATCATCCAAAATACGCCATTCCGGGTCTTAATACCGTATTTAATAAGGGTGAAATTTACTCGCTACTTGTGAGGTTTAGTTCCCCCTTCCTCCACCTACCCCCACCACACCCAGCCAAGTGATGTAGGTGAGTTACATTTTGGCCTTTATGACACCAGACCAAAAGGATCAAAATCAATTGCTTCTGTGTTAAGGGGTGGGAAGGCCGCCGCCACCGTCGACCTACAAATAGTCAAGGGGCAAAAAGATGATTGTGTATATATGTTATAAGAGCCATAATTGTTTGCACCGCCCAGCCTGAAATCTCGAGCATCGGAACAGGAAGTTATGTTAGTACGCCTCATTGAAGGGAGAATTTATTGGTTGCAATTTTACCTCTCACTCTGAAAACCCTTCTTAACACACACACACACACACACACACACACACACACACACAGAGTGTTTTAACAGTTTGGCTTTGAGAGAGAGAGAGAGAGAGAGAGAGAGAGATAAAAGTTTTGCTCACACCATCAGCCTGGATAATGTCTACCTCCCCACTTAACTATTTATGTTGTGTTGTGTGTAAGTTACGTGATCCGAGGTTGTGAAGCAATTAACACGACGATGGTGATCCAACAACAACAACAACGACAACAACAACAACAACAACAACAACAACAACAACAACAACAATAATAATAATAATAATAATAATAATAATAATAATAATAATAATGGAATTGAAAGAGAGAAAGTAAGAAAAAAAGAAAAGAACAAAAGAAATAAAGTAATCAAGCGGGTAAGACTTACTAAACATGCACTCTCAGTCGCTCACTTGGCGGATATAGTGACAGTGTGAGCAGGGAGAACTGTCCATGGTCCGGGGGTGAGAGGCGCCCCCGTCACCCCGCTGGGAGGCGACCATTGACTCCGGGGGGGTGAGGCGCCCCCGTCATCCGCTGTAGGAAGACCATTGACTCCGAAGGTGAAGAGGCGCCCCCGTCACCCGCTGGGAGACCAGACTCCGGTGAGAGGCGCCCCGTCACCCCGCTGTAGGAGACCATTGACTCCGGGGGGGAGAGGCGCCCCGTCACCCCGCTGTGGAGAGACCATTGACTCCGGGGGGTGAGAGGCGCCCCCGTCACCCGCTGTAGGAGAACCATTGACTCCGTGGGGTGAAGGCGCCCCGTCACCCCACCCCGCTGTAGGCGACCATTGACTCGGGGGTGAAGAGGCGCCCGTCACCCGCTGTAGGAGGAGACCGTGGCTCCGGTGAGAGGCCCCGTCACCCCGCTGTAGGAGACCATTGACTCGGGGGTGAAGGCGCCCCGTCACCCGCTGGAGGCGAACATTGACTCCGGGTGAAGGCGCCCCCGTCACCCGCTGTAGGAGACCATTGACTCCGGGGGTGAGAGAGGCGCCCCGTCTCACCCGCTGTAGGAGACCATTGACTCCGGGGTGTGAGAAGGCGCCCCGTCATCCCGCTGAGGCGACCATTGACTCCGGGGGTGAAGGCGCCCCCGTCACCCGCTGTAGGAGGAGACCATTGACTCCGGGGGTGAGAGCCCCGTCACCCCGCTGTAGGAGGCGACCATTGACTCCGGGGGTGAGAGGCGCCCGTCACCCGCTGTAGGAGGAGCCATTGACTCCGGGGGGTGAGAGGCGCCCCGTCATCCGCTGTGAGGCGACCATTGACTCCGGGGGGTGAAGGCGCCCCGTCATCCCCGCTGTAGGAGGCGACCATTGACTCCGGGGGTGAGAGAGGTGCCCGTCACCCCGCTGTAGGAGGACCGACGACTCCGGGGGGTGAAGCGCCCCGTCACCCCGCTGTAGGAGGGGACCATTGACTCCGGGGGTGAGAGAGGCGCTGTCACCCCGCTGTGGGCGACCATTGACTCCGGGGGTGAGAGCGCCCGTCACCCCGCTGTAGGAGGAGACCTTGACCGGGGTGAGAGGCGCCCCGTCATCCGCCCATTGACTCGGTGGGTGAGAGAGGCGCCCCATCCCGCTGTAGGAGGCGACCATTGACTCCGGGGGTGAGAGGCGCCCCGTCATCCCGCTGTGGAGAGACCATTGACTCCGGGGGTGAGGGCGCCCCCGTCATCGCTGTAGGAGAGACCATTGACTCCGGTGGGTGAGAGAGCGCCCCGTCCCCCGCTGTAGGAGACCATTGACTCCGGGGGTGGAGGCGCCCCGTCACCCCGCTGTAGGAGAGGACCATTGACTCCGGGGGTGAGAGAGGCGCCCCCGTCATCCCGCTGTAGGGCGACCTTGACTCCGGGGGGGTGAGAGGCGCCCCGTCATCCCGCTGTAGGAGAGACCATTGACTCCGGGGGTGAGGCACCCCCGTCACTGAGACCATTGACTCGGGGGGTGAGAGAGGCGCCCTCGTCACCCCGCTGTAGGAGACCATTGACTCGGGGGGTGAGAGGTGCCCCGTCACCCCGCTGTAGGAGGGGACCATTGACTCCGGGGGTGAGAGGCGCCCCCGTCATCCCGCTGTAGGAGGCGACCATTGACTCGGGGTGAGAGAACACCCCGTCACCCCGCTGTAGGAGGAGACCTGACCGGGGGTGAGAGGCGCCCGTCACCCCGCTGGAGACCATTGACTCCGGGGGGTGAGAGAGGGCCCGTCCCGCTGTAGGGAGACCATTGACTCCGGGGGGGTGAAGTGCCCCGTCACCCCGCTGTAGGAGGGACCTTGACTCGGGGGTGAGAGAGCGCCCCGTCATCCGCTGTAGGAGGAGACCATTGACTCGGGGGTGGAGAGAGGCACCCCCCGTCACCCCGCTGTAGGAGACCATTGACTCCGGGGGGTGAGAGAGCCCCGTCACCCGCTGTAGGAGACCATTGACTCGGGGGTGAGAAGTGCCCCGTCACCCCTGTAGGAGGACCATTGACCGGGGGTGAGAGAGCGCCCCGTCTCATCCCGCTGTGAGGCGTGACTCCGGGGGTGAGAGAGGCGCCCCGTCATCCCGCTGTAGGAGGAGACCATTGACTCCGGGGGGTGGAGAGGCACCCCGTCACCCCCGCTAGGAGCGACCATTGACTCCGGGGGGTGAAGGCCCCCGTCACCCCGCTGTAGGAGGAGACCATTGACTCCGGGGTGAGAGAGGCACCCCGTCTCCGCAGTAGGAGAGACCATTGACTCCGGGGGTGAGAGAGGCCCCGTCACCCGCTGGAGGCCGTGACTCCGGGGGTGGGCGCCCCGTCATCCGCTGTAGGAGGAGACCATTGACTCCGGGGGTGAGAGGGCGCCCCCGTCCCCGCTGTAGGGAGACCATTGACTCCGGGGGTGAGAGGCGCCCGTCCCGCTGTAGGGAGAGACCATTGACTCCGGGGGTGAGAGAGCGCCCCCGTCACCCCGCTAGAGCAACGACTCGGGGTGAGAGGCGCCCCCGTCACCCCCTGTAGGAGGAGACCATTGACCGGGGTGAGAGAGGCGTCCCGTCACCCCGCTGAAGGAGGCGACAGTGACTCAGGGGTGAGAGAGGCGCCCCTGTCACCCCGCTGTGGAGGCACCATTGACTCGGGGGTGAGAGAGGCACCCCGTCACCCCGCTGTAGGAGGAGACCGACTCCGGGGGTGAGAGAGGCGCCCCCGTCCCCCCTGCTGTAACGACCATTGACCTGGGGGTGAAGGCGTCCCTCACCCCCTGAGGAGGAGACCATTGACTCGGGGTGAGAGAGGCGCCCCCGTCACCCCGCTGTAGGAGGCGACCTTGACTCCGGGGGTGAGAGGCGCCCCGTCACCCGCTGTAGGAGGAGACCATTGACTCCGGGGGTGAGAGAGCGGCCCCGTCACCCCGCTGTAAGGCGACCATTGACTCCGGGGGTGAAGGCGCCCGTCACCCCCGCTGGAGGCGACCTTGGCTCCGGGGGTGAAGGCGGCCGTCACCCGCTGTAGGAGGCGACCATTGACTCCCCACAATGGTAGTCAGATTGACCCTATAAAACCCTCTACAGGAGGACAACTGACCCGTAATTGTATATCTGAGCTTGTCATGCGTTAGTTTATTGTGCACAGATAAGACGATCAGTTTACGTTGGTGGTGTGGTGGTGTGTGGTGTTATGGTGGTGGTGTGGTGTGGTGTTATGTGGTGGTGTGGTGGTGTGGTGGTGTTATGGTGGTGGTGTGGTGGTGTTATGGTGGTGCGGTGTGGTGGTGGTGATGTGGTGGTGATGTGGTGGTGTTAGGTGGTGTGGTTGTGTGGTGGTGTTATGGTGATGTGGGTGGGTTAGTGGTGGTGGTGGTAGGTGGTGTGGTGTTGCTGTAGTGGTGTTATGGTGCTATGGCTGTCCTCCTCCCTCACCCCTCCCTCATGAGCCTATTCTGTGAGGTGAGTCCATGTTGTGAGTCTGTCTGTGAGTCCGTGTGGAGTCTCTGTCCTGTGAGTCTGTTATGAGTCTCTGTCCCAGAGTCCGTGTTATGAGTCTCGTCCTGTGAGTCCGTGTTGTGAGTCTCTGTCCTGTGAGTCCGTGTTGTGAGTCTCTGTCCGAGTCCGTGGAGAGTCCGTGTCCAGAGTCCGTGTTGTGAGTCTCTGTCCTGTGAGTCCGTGTTGTGAGTCTCTGTCCTGTGAGTCCGTGTTGTGAGTCTCTGTCCTGAGTCCGTGTGTGAGTCTCTGTCCTGTGAGTCCGTGTGTGAGTCTCTGTTCCTGAGTCCGTGTTGTGAGTCTCTGTCCTGTGAGTCCGTGTTGTGAGTCTGTCCTGTGAGTCCGTGTTGTGAGTCTCTGTCCTGTGAGTCCGTGTTGTGAGTCTGTCCGTGAGTCCGTGTTATGAGTCTCTGTCCTGTGAGTCCGTGTTATGAGTCTCTGTCCTGTGAGTCCGTGTTATGAGTCTCTGTCCTGTGAGTCCGTGTTGTGAGTCTCGTCCTGTGAGTCCGTGTTGTGAGTCTCTGTCCTGTGAGTCCGTGTTGTGAGTCTGTCCCGAGTCCGTGGGAGTCTCTGTCCTGTGAGTCCGTGTTGTGAGTCTCTGTCCTGTGAGTCCGTGTTATGAGTCTCTGTCCGTGAGTCCGTGTTATGAGTCTCTGTCCCAGAGTCCGTGTTATGAGTCTCTGTCCTGTGAGTCCGTGTTGTGAGTCTCTGTCCTGTGAGTCCGTGTTGTGAGTCTCTGTCCTGTGAGTCCGTGTTATGAGTCTCTGTCCTGTGAGTCCGTGAGTCCTATCCCTGAGTCCGTGTTGTGAGTCTCTGTCCCTGAGTCCGTGTTATGAGTCTCTGTCCTGTGAGTCCGTGTTGTGAGTCTCTGTCTTGTGAGTCCGTTGAGTCTGTCCTGTGAGTCCGTGTTGTGAGTCTCTGTCCTGTGAGTCCGTGTATGAGTCTCTGTCCTGTGAGTCCGTGTTGGAGTCTCTGTCTTGTGAGTCCGTGTTGTGAGTCTGTCCTGTGAGTCCGTGTTGTGAGTCTTGTCCTGTGAGTCTGTTATGAGTCTCGTTACAGTTTTAGTGTTGAGTCCCATCTATGAGAGAGAGAGAGAGAGAGAGAGAGAGAGAGAGAGAGAGGCCACGCAGCTACCTTAGTGACCACAGAGGTAAGTCGTCAGCCGACATTCTTACCACACCATGACCTAAGCGGTATCCTCCACTGACCCTTGAACCCTTTCTACACGGATCTTATTGTATCTCACCTCAATCTTACCTCACCTTACTCACTCTTTACCCCACCCCACCCCACCTCACCTTCCTCACCTTTACCTTACCCTCACACCTCTACCTTACCTTACCTTACCTCACTCCACCTTACCTCACCTCACCTCACCTCACCTCACCCTCACCTCACCTTACCCCCACCTCACTTACCTTACCTTACCTTACCTTTACCTTACACCACCTTACCTTACCAGCTTCATTACCTAATATATTTATCATCTTCCTTGGCACCTTAATAAATCTGGTAATATTGTACTGTACTCACCTGGGTTTTTGTATAATAA